CACCCACCCTCATTCAGGAACCCTGGATAAGTTAAAGATTATTTTTTCCATATCTTACATCCTCCTCCGTCGCTGCTCACCCACTTTTCTGTTATTCGTCCCCCTGGAAGGGGGTTCTAGATTGATCCTTGTGATCAATTCCCCCTTTCTCCCCCCACCCTCCCATAATCCTCCTGGCATCACTACTCTCCATGTTGGTCCTGAGAGGTTTATCTATCCTGGATTCCCTGTGTTGCAGGCTCTTATCTGGAGCAGTGTGCATGCTCTGATCTAATCTGATTTGTAAGGTAGAATTGAGGTCATGACAGTGGGGGGAAGGAAGCACCAAAGAGCTAGAGGTAAGTTGTGTGTTTCATCGGTGCTATACAGCACCCCGACTGGCTCATCTCTTCCCTGTGACCCCTGTGTGAGGGGATGTCGAGCCTAACTCTTAGAAGGATAGAAAGCCTCATCTTTTTCTTTCGGAGCGGCTGTTGGTTTCAAACTGCTGGTCTTTTGGATAGCAGCCCAAGGGGTGTGACCAAGACGCCACCACGTGGTGATGACGTATGGGGGGAGTAACACGGTTTAAATCACAAAGGCTACTTTCCCTGTTGGGCCGGGTTCCCCTTGGCCAGGGCCCCAAACATCACCTGTTCCCAGGGGCCTTCCACCTCCTCTACCTACGAGCACTTGGGAGAGTTAGGCGGAAAGCCTTCGTTCCGCAGGAGGGTCAAATCCCTCAATGTCCAGAGCTGCACAGGGCTGCCCAACTTTCCAGCCTGGGGTCTGGGTCCCAGGTCTGGCGAGCTAACAGCCTTCACTCGTCAGGGGAAGTAACCCTAGAGATCAGGCCCACACCATCAGGAATGCCCTTCCTCCTCCCTTCGCTGGGACCTCGGCTCTGCTATGTCAGGGGGGCGAGCCGCACCCCGGCCCCTCTTATCTCCATTTGAGTCACCCTTTTCTTGGGCCCACTCGCTCCTTAAGGCTGGCATTTGGTGTCGTCCGCCTCCGCCACCTTCTTCCCGGTCTACCTACTTCTCCGGCGACGGTCACTCAGCACGGGCTCTGCACTCGTGGCGCCCTCCCAACGCACCTCGACCCCAGACCCCTCCGCAGCAAGACGACCCTTCCGGCTGGGGGTTAGGAGGAGGACGTGTGGGAGTGCCGCTGGTTGCTCTGCCTGATGGCAGCGCTAAATCACCGCCGAACTACACTTCCCAGGGGCAATGCGGCTCGGTTTCGAGAAATCGCGTGGGATTGAGGCGCTGGCGAACGAGAGCGGTCCCGCAATATCTTCTGGGATTTGCAGTTTAGACAGGAGTACTGCGGTCTCTAGGAGCACCGCCCCGTCGGGGGCGGGGCGGGGCGGGGCGGAAGTGGTGCTCTGTGGGAGTTGTAGTTCTTGGTCCCGCGATGGGTTTCCGCCAAGCGCCTGATCTAGACAGCTTGAATGATTGAGGTTTCCACAACTAGAATCTCCGAGTCAGAGCTGTTACCGCAGACAACCAGACTGGTAATAGAATGAATGGTTGCACAGCACAAAGAATACATGGCTGTCACTGAATGGTGCATGTAGAAATTAGATTGTGTTTTGGTGTGCATACTTTCAACAATAACAAAGTAGCTCACAGAGCATTCATTCCTGGGATTCTTGTTTTTGTAATCTAAACACACCTGCTACCGCAATCCCCACTTCCCAGGCCAAAGTAGTCGTGCACATGTAACATGAATTCTCTTATTTCATCTTCATGGAATATACTCACCCTCATGGGGAACCTGAGACCAAGAGCCATGCCATAATAACTTTCTCAGGGTCCTTTAAGACTAACCAGTGATTCTGATGAGCGTGAGGGGAAATCAGTCAATTGACACCCTCAGACCCCGCTTATCTCATTTCCAAGCACCAGCACTTTTCCTCTGTACTGTCAACTTAAAAATATATATACATATTTTTAAAGAGAGCTTTCGGTTTGTAGAAAATAGAGTATATAGTATTGAGAGTTCCCATATAGCCTTTGCTCCCTTCACCTATAGTTTCCCGTATTATTAACACCTTGTATTTGTGCAGGCCAGGCAGTGCTTCATCATGTTCTGGGTAACAGCACCTTAGAAAGACAGCATAGTTGTGTTAGTCTGGGTAGACTAGAGAAAAATTCATAGACACTTATGTATATAGGAAAAAGCTTTATATACAAGAGCAATTGAATATTGAGAAAACATCCCAGCCTAGTCCAGATCAAGTCCATAAGTCCTATATTAGCCCATATGTCCAATACCAGTCTACAAAGACCTCTTCAGACTCACAAAACCCATGCAATGATGCTGAATGCCGGAAGATCACAGGCCAGTGGGTGGGAAGTCTTGTGGATTCAGTGGTATTGTAAGCATCTCAGCACTGGCAGGGGTCTCCACGTGGCTTCTCCAGCTCCAGAGGTCTGGTTGCATCAGGGTAGGTCCATGTGGCTTCTCCTCAGGGATGTCTCCCAGGGAGAGAACAGAAAGAGTGTGTCCCCCACCTCCAAAGAGGAATACAGGATTTCCCAGAATCCTTAGGAGAAGGCCATGCCCACACAGAATCCTTATTGGCAATTACCTGATTGACAGGCTAGACTCCACACCTGCATTCTTAATCCACAAGTTGACAAACGCTTATATAACTACCACAATAGTTTTGCCAAGGAATGTTAGCTACTTGGAATCATGTAATGTGCAGCTCTTGTAGACTGGTTTGTTTCACTAAACAATATGCATTTGGGGTCCTTTCAGATCGTTGCACAGCTTGATAGCTCATTTAGATTGTAGATTGTTTGCCTATTAAAGGACATGTTGATTGTTTCCAGAATTCAGTAATTATGAGTAAAATTGCTACAAACATTTGTGTGCAGGTTTTTTAATGGACATAGGTGTTTAACTCTTTTGGGTAACTACCTAGGAGTGAAATTGCTGGATTGTATGGTGAGATTATGTTTAGCGTTCACTTCCCCACCAGCAATGAAAGAGAGTTCCCGTTGCTCCACATTCTTCCCAGCATTTGATATTGTCACTTTTTTGGATGCTAGCTGTTCTAATAGGTGGAGTCCCTGGGAGGTACAAATGGTCAACATGCTCAGTGGCTAACAGAAAGGTTGAAGATTCTAGTCCACCTAGAGGTGCCCCAGAAGAAATGTCTGCAGTCTGCTTCTGAAATATCAGTCATGGAAAGCCCTATTAAGTATCGTTCTGTTGAGGTCAGCTTGTTTCAGCGCTCACTGTAAGCAGAGCTTGGGTGGTATTTTACCCTCTACTTTTGGGTTCCAGGTAGGTGCCCCTGTGGAGGGCACAATCTGGCCAAATCAATAGCAGTCCTAATGTAACTTCAGACAGATGACGTGAGTTGACAAAAGCTAGTTGAAAGTACTATGGACTACCAAAAATCCAAACAAATACTCCTTAAAATCAAGAATGGTGAGACTCCATGTTGTGTACTTTGGACATATTATCAGGAGAGGCTAGTCCCTGGGAAAAGACATCATCCTTGGTGTGTGAGTCCAGGTTGACTAGAGAAACAATTCCAGGGACACTCATAAGAGAAAGCTTTTTATCAAGAAGTAATTATGCATCGATAAAACATTCCAGCCCAGTCCAGATCAAGTCCTTAAGTCCAGTGCTAGTCCATAAGTTTGATGCTAGTCCATAAATCCCTCTTGATGCAAAAGGCAGGAAGATCACAGCTGGTGGGTGCAAAGTCTTGTGCATCCAGTGGTGGTAGCCGCATCTTAGGGCGTCTGGCAGGTCTCTGAGTGGCTTGCCAGCAGGAAGGTGAAGCAGAGAGAGAGTGTCTCTCATGGAACCTCACCATGTAGCTTCATGGTGTAGCGATGTGTGGCGGGCAAAGCAGGTCTCAGCAGCGCCTCATGATGTAGTGATGCAAAACGGCAGGCTGGAGGTGCAACGTCGGTCCACAGGTGGCAGACACAGCAGGGTGAGGCGATATCTCCGAGTGGAGCAGCACAGCGACATGGTCCACCTCGGTTCATGGGTTGCCTTGTCCAGGTGGAGCAGAGCACTGCAGGGCCCACAGGTAGTACAGCATGTTGTTGAGGCAGAGCAGCTAACTCAGGTAGCACACTGATCTGATCACCAGGGAGACAGAGAGAAGGAGGAGGCCTTGGGAAGCAGTTGTCTCTGATGCCCTCCGGTCACTCTTGCAACCTAGTTAAACTTGGCCCACATGTATCTATGAAAGCCTAGTTGCACAACAAACCTAATGATCACACTTGATAAAGTAGTAGGGCAGCCAAGAAGAGGAATACCTCTGACAAGATGGATTGATACAGCGGCTGCAACAATGAGCTCATAAAACAAAAACCAAACTCATTGTCATCCAGTTAATGCTGACTCATGGGTTTCCAAGACTGTAACTGTTTACTGGAGTAGAAAGTCCAGTCTTTCTCCCATGGAGCTGCCAATGGTTTTAAACTGTGGGCCTTGAGCATAGCAGCCCAACGCATAACAACTACACCACCAGCGTTCCTTCTGTCATCCATAGCCTTCTGAATTTAAGCACTAATGCAGTTCCCTCCTCCGGTCTTGGATTTTATTGTTTACAATCCTTGGATCTCACCGGCTGGTGTTCTTCCATGTGGACTTCCATGTGGCACCTCACTTTGATGACTGCTTGTTTAAGACCCCAGAAGCTATTCTGTCTAATAGCCAGGCACCATCTGACTACTTCATCACAATTTACTGTAGCGCCCATCTCTTTAGTGCTTAATATTTGCCCTCATGAAGATATAGGCAAAGGTATGTAGGGGTGTCTATTGATTGGGAGTGACCTTTGGAGGCATGGTGCTTACACATTGGGCTGCAATGGGCATGGTCAGCAGTTTGAAACCACCAGCCTTTCCGAGGGAGAAAGATGGGGCTTTCTACTCTTGTAAGTAGTTACAATCTTGGAAATTCAAATCATCAGTTCTGCCCTATAGGATAGGGTGGAACCTTGCAGATTGCAGCCCAACACATTAAGACTCTGCCACCAGGGCTCCTTCTGACTCCTAGCGACCCTATATACGATTTCTGAGACTGTAAATCTTTACGGACTAAATAACTTCATCTTTCTCCCTCAAGGGTTAGCAGGTTTGAATCTCTGACCTTAACATCAGCAGCCCAGCGCTTACCCCACAGTGCCACTAAAGCTCAATCTCCCTTTACTCACTGCCATGGAGTCAAATCCGACTCACGGTGAGCCTATAGGACAGAGTGGAACTGCCTCCGTGGGTTTCGAAGACTCTAACTGTTTATGGCGTTGAAAATTTCATCGTTTTCCCTCGGAGCAGCTGGTGGTTTTGAACTGCTGATCTTGTGGTTAGCAGCCCAAAGCATAAAGAAACAGAGGCCAGGGAGGCTAGCTGTGTTTGCTGTTGCGGAACAAGCAGAAGCCAGGTTGGAACTCAGAGCCTTGCTTCTAGTTTAGAGGACCTTTTACACATCAATTAAACAAACAAATAAACACACATGTGTTACATGTGTGTTTGTGTTTGCCTAGCCAGGGGGGTATGGGCACCTGCACAGGCTGGAGTCTCTCTTTCTGCCACTTCTGGGCTAGTGATCTAAGTGCGGGGCTTCCCTCTTCCCTCTATTCTGCTTTGCGGAGGAATTTTTGGACAGTCACCTCAAGGGCATGTCACCCCCAGGTTAATCACATCCAGAATCAGCCCGACCCCCACCATGGAAGGGAGTGCCACACACTGAGGTAAAACACTGGGGGCGTGCAATGGAGCGGCGGGGGAAGCAGAGCAAGGAGGTCCCAAGGGATATAAAGGATGGACTTTGGGGCCAGTACGTGGCACCCCATCAGACTCATCCGGAAAACACTCCTAAAGATCAACAAACAGACCTTGAACTATTAACAGGCTTTTTCCCCCGTTTTTTCTTTTTCCTCTCTTCTTTAAATTTTGTATGTCAGTGGCTTGTTTGTTAGCTTGTTGGTGCTGCTGCCGTTGTCGCCATGTTCTTATGTGCCACTTTGTTTGGTGCTGCCAAAGCCACCCGCAATTTTATGCACATATTATTCTATCTGCAGGTCCACCTAGATAAGAGAGGCTGGACAAACAATGTGAGAAGAAAATAACGGGACCAACGGTCCTGGAGGGACATCAGAATGTGGGAGGTAGGGGAAGGG